TTGCGGCTTGGTTAGGTAACAGGTGAGAAATGCGTGCGAACAAGGCGGCAGATACTTCGGCAGCCTCTGCCAAGGATCGCGATATGAGAAATATCAGCGCTCGCGATCACCTTGTCGATTCTCCCTGTCAGGGTTACATGTGCCGAAACGTGGTCTCATATCGGCTTCGTTGGAATTCTCGCTATTCTATCCGTCCCCTGATCGAAAAGCGCAACTTGACACTTGCGTGTGCAAACGCGCCGGCCTTGACACATCGAGTTACATGTTTAATTAACCGCGAAGTCTCCTGTAACTCGTTATAATAATGCGCACACGAGTAAATCGACGTGCTCCATATTGGTGAGAGCTAAGCTTCGATAAAACTTTAACATTTATTACGCCGAGACTCACTAGATCGATTTATAGTCGTTCGTGCATCATGCCTAGACGTAATGTGTGACATAATATGATACATCAATGCAAGTTATATACTGTGATGTGTCATGTGAATATGATATGTCAAAATGACAGATCTCTCAGCCGAATGGTCAACAATCATAATATATACAAATATATCTAGATACGATGCGAATAATTATTGAAATAATTAGTGAGCTTTGGCTTAATAAATGTTAAGATTTCCTTGCCACACGGAAAAAAAAATTTTGTTGAATTAACCAAATATCTGGTCAAATATGAACGATCCAGAAATTCCGATTGAAATAACCCCAATTCTGTTTAAATTAACAAGATTTTTTGTTAACTTAAATAGAATTCGGGTTACTGCAATCGGAGTTTCTGGATTCATATTCGACCAGATATTTGGTTGAATTAACCAAATATCTGGTCAAATATGAACGATCCAGAAATTCCGATTGAAATAACCCCAATTCTGTTTAAATTAACAAGATTTTTTGTTAACTTAAATAGAATTCGGGTTACTGCAATCGGAGTTTCTGGATTCATATTCGACCAGATATTTGGTTAATTCAACCAAACCTTTTTTTCGTGCACTTGCTACACTTTGAAAATGACCTTCAGTTTTAGAATGCAACGTTTTATCTGGATTGCCAACATTTATTTTAAATGATGGGAAGAATTTTATCCTCAAGACAAATTCAAATGAACTGTCTGGAGGTTTTGTCATTTATAAATAAGTGTTGAATATGTATGGAAGAGCTCAACATCATACGGTTTTTGCTTGTTTTCTTCATATTTACTCCCGACTTCTATTTTGGCTCAAAACAACTAACGTGTTTGTCGAAAGATTTGTTGTGGAAAACATTTTCTGAGGCGCTTCATTGTTAACTGAAAGTACCGACTAATGAGATCTTTTGAACGAACCGGAAGGCTGAGGAGAACCGATCGAACGACTTGGTCTAATTACGAGCCAGATGATGTGCCACGTGACCGACTAGACCAGGTCAAGACCGATATGGATTACGGGGCCACAGACGGATTTTCGACCTCGAAATTGCTGCTAAAATTAGCAGTGCCTTACAAAACCGTTCAATGGGTTTTCTGTGCCAGCGAAGGGGTCCTCGAGTTCATGATTGTACATGTCACGTGTATGTACGAGTTTGTATATATATATATATATATATATATATATATATATATATATATATATATATATATAAATATATATATTTATACACACACACGTGTGTTGTGTAACGCTTCGCCGATTTTATTCTCATTATACACACGAGAGAGGAAAATGTCGCGCACACTATGTGTCGTGAGAACTACATAAAATTGCATTCATATCATCACTGTATCTAAAAAAAATGGAATTTGTCAAACAAGACTAATGGAAGCTTGAAAAACAAATAATAAATTTTTCTATCGCGAATGACACCTTTGTCTCGATCAAAACTCCATTTAGTGAATTATTTAATTTTTAACTTTTTAAAATAATTATGAGGAGTCCTTGCTTTTCAAATTGAAATATTAATTCGAACTAGAATATGGCTGCGTAGTTTGTGCCGGAATCACAGTGCGAACCGAGACAGACGTCACAGAATGTCTTTTGTTCTAACACGTTGTGACATGCTTGAGACAGGATACGGTTTATACTCGATTTCTCGTCACGTGAGAAGAATATATTCTCTTTGCCGTAAAACACACAGTAAAAGAAAAAAATATTTAAAGACTAAGAAATATATATTCGGCTATTAGTAATATTTATATTCACTTATATAAGATATTTTATGAATAAGAAAGTGTGCATTTTCCTTAAACCTTAGCTGAAAACAATTGTTTATTCTATTTAAATAAAAGAATTTAGATTTAAGAATTTAGATTAGATTAGATTAGATAAAAGAATTTAGGTAAATACGTTATATTAGTATCCAAATATAAATATTTTTTAGATATTTTTTTTTTTCGGTGCACATCACGGAAACTTTTGTATTCTAGTCTGCTTGATACGCTTAATTTATGATAACACCTCAATAATTAACATAAATTCCAAAAGTCTACACGATTAAGTTCCGTTCTCGTGAAATGTTTATCGGCAAATTTGCATCTATTACCCAAACATTTGATTTCTAAACGGATACATCCTGTACACCTGGATTTCACAGAGTCACGCGGTGTATCGTAACGAGGGTGAAGTAACGCAGCACTCGCGATAATACTGAATCGACACGCGTCTACACGCGTTGCATAATCGCACATGCATACGATTTTCCTGCCCGTTGGGCAGGTCACGACGATCCTTCGATTCGATCTCGGCTATCTGTTTCACCGATGAAGGAAAAGGAAGAAGACAGAGAGAGGGAAAGAGTGATTCAACATGTGAAGCAATCCTCAAATGCCGCCGTGAAATTCCGCGTTGCGGTTAATTAGCTGAGAAAAAAGGAGTCTGACGTCAGTGTTGCGCGACGAAAACATCGTTTGACGAGCTCGGAATTGGCCTTCATTTTACGTAATTTTCTTTTTCTTTTCCTTTAAAATATAAATCGCAACATGCGATTGTTCATTAATCTGCACGTCGATTGTAATTCCAATATTTTCGAAAATATATATCGATAATTTAATGTAATGTTTAATAAATGGACTGAATTTCTCCGATAAGTGATTTTTACACGAAATGTAAATGATACCTTCCCTTTGCTCCTTCTCTGTCTTTCTCCTTTGTACTTTAGATCATCGCTAATCAATTTGTTCGAACGTCGAGTAGCCGACGTCGCGGTCTTGTTAAAACATTCGTTATGTAATCATCGATTCCAGAAAACAGACCGTGCAGGTGAATCTTCAACAATGTCCTGCGTTCCTTTTCAAGCTAATCGCGGCCGCGGTCGCATACAAATAGCGCAAGATTACGAAGTCTAAACGTACATGCCAATCGTTATATAGTTACCGATAAGACATAGAGAAATATTTATGATTTTTGATATTTGCATACCGTTACAAAGAGCAAATAACACCGAGTTGATTTCCTCGTGAAAAACAAGTTGCCGTCGCGGAACTACCGAATCGATTTGATGCGGTGCATTTCGCGCGGTGCATTGCATTGCACGCGACACCGAGTGCACCGCTGGAGAGTCGCAAAGACGGGACATCGGCTCTCGCGAATCGATCGCGGCTCGGATACTTAAAGGCGCGTCAACCTGAGATCCTTACATAACTCGTGTTACTAGAACCATAATCGTGTCCTAGAACTATTGACTTTAACCTTCAAGTCTGTTTATCGCTCCCTTTTTTTCAATGGACCGTTTCTTTCTTTCTTTTCGACAAAAAATAAGAAATAAATATTAAAGAACCTGGTGATTTAAATGAAATTCAGATTTTCTGCAAAACAAGGAATACTGAAATTCAGTGTAACCTTCTTACAAGCTACAACACATATGTACATGCATATATATTTGAAGAATGCTACGCTCTCTTGTCTATTTATTAGATCTCAACTTACGAGTCATACACAAATACGTTCTTAATGTGTATAACGTCTCTTTCGACATAATCGTATCCTTGAAAGAAACCTCGTATCTCTTTCCTTATTACACAGAGATATTTCTACGCAACAAAGATCCCGTAAATGAAAGTCTACTATTAATTAATTAATCAAGTTAATAGCGAATAATTAAATAATTATTTGCTATGAATAATAATCTCCTTTGGAGCAAAATGATATATGACGCGCTACGTGATTCACATACGGAATGTTTTTCTGCACGTTTGGATAGTGCGCGATTTATCGAGCACAATTTTTTAAAAAATTACTTTTTTCGAAAGCTCTCGTTATTCTTTTCGAAAGTCAAAGTTTTCCTTTGCGTGGCATATGTATGTAATATATATATTCATATCTTCTTTTTTCCCAATATCACAAATGACATCTATACATGTTAAACTGCTATCGCGTTTCTTCCAAAGTTTTATGATTTATCTAACGGTTCTACGATAATCCTCATATCACAAGAAAAGGATATCTTGGGAACTTGTGTGAATATTTAGAAGTCTTCGGAATATTTTTAGGATATTTTGAGGATTTATGCGGATTTAGTAATCTTCTGAGTGTCTTTAGGGCATCTTTTAAATCTTGTGCTATGTGGGAAAAATTCTGCTCACCATGCACATTTCACGATACACTCACACATATTCGCATCTTGCGCGCCACACGCACACACACGCACCGCCGACACTGGGGCACACATACACGTACCTTGACATAGTTACACTTTTCCAAAAACGGGATTCGCGTGTGGAATGGGCATCGCGTTCGACGGCGAGTGGCGATTTGTATCGACAAATTTGGAATTTCGCAGCTTTTTCTCGCGGCTTTTTCTCGCGGCTTCGAGAGACGGCCGCCACACCGGTCGATAGAACGTCCGCAGTCGCCCGCGTTAGAATGAATCCGCCCCACGAATTTCCCGGATCTTTCCCTCTTTTGGCTGGAATGTCGGAGCGTGTGCCGGCGAAACGAACGAATCGGCCGAGAATTTCGAAGGCGACGTGCGAACGGCGCGCAAAACTCGCACCTCCGCGAAGGGTGGAAAAAAGTGCGGTCTACTCACCTGTACTTCGAGACAGCGTTTAGGGGTGAAGCGAAAGAGCGCCATTCTTATTCTGCTTGTGTTAATCCTGCTTGCGCGGGGTTCCTCCCTCTCGTTTCTCCCTCGAACGACCGATTCGGCTTGACTGACTACTAACCGACCGGCCACGCGGTACTCCGGCGCCCCAACTCGACTGACTCAGGCCGCGCTGCTTTCACCACTGTGCGGCGTGCGCATGCGTCGCTTACGCGCGCTATGTTCAGGACGGCGTCCGAATCCCCCCGCGGCAAAATTCAAATTTCCTTCTCTTGACGTCCGAAAGTCGCGTCTGTACAAACACAAGTATTCTGTGGTAATAATAGATTAAACCCGTTAATGCACATCAAGGGAACCGAAATCGAGATGTAAGACGGAATAAAACAAAACGTATCGACACGATGTGTCGCTGGTGATTTTATTCTATTTTGTACAGAGTTTATTTGACCGCGCGGTTGTCTCTTTTGTGACTTGGTTTACAATTTGTCAATAAAAATCAAGCATTAGAAAATTCTAACGATGTATTCATTGACACCATTTTAAGCGAACTTGATGTAAGAAAATTAAATTGTTTGTTTGCAAGAATTTATATGCCCGCATATTTCCGCCAATAACGATAATCTACAAATATAGGTGATATACATGTGAACGTGGGATATATAAAAATATATGTCTAATTAAATTAAATGCGTAATATTGCGTAGAGTTATTAGTATTTTACCTGTTCAACGTAAATAAATGGAAGCCGCAAGTCGTCCCGCTTCCGATCACATCAGTAATTATCTGTACTGTTAATTCAAGTACGAATTTTCTCATCACTTTATCCTCGTTCCTCATTCGTGATAAATCGTGTTTTATTTTTTCTGGAATGTCGAGTTTACAAACACGCGCCATTAGCTCTAAACACTCGTAATTCGTCGGTACGAAAATTCCAGGAATAATTGGAACTTGAATGCCTATCTCTCGGCAATCTTTTACGAAGTCTATGAAAACTTGAGATTCGAAAATTATTTGCGTTATGATGAAATCCGCGCCCGCTTCTACCTAAAAAAATATTACAAATAAAATTTGCTCGTAAATATATCTATCTATCGTATATATATATCGTAAATCTCGTTCGCAATTATTATATTCGATATTTATTGCAATCGCGTGAATCAATAAAAATCCTTTGTTACTTTCGCTTTCAAGTAATGCAGATCGAGTTCCTTGGAGGCTGATTTCGGATGCATTTGTGGATAGCCCGCCACACATATGCAGAACGTGTCGCCAAATTGTTCTCTGATAAAAGTGACCAAGTCACTTGCATGCACGAAGTCACCGTCCTTGGATGAGGAATCTACGATTCAAACGGAAATTTGTGTATTTTGCCTTTCCGGTAAAACGCTTTATAGATCGATCAATTTGAGCCGCAAAGATTATATCATGAACTCAACCCTTTCGGCTCTGATAATTAGAATCATGTACGATGTATGTACCAAAATAAATCATTAAGTGACATGGTAACATTTCGATATACGAAATATATTTCACAATTCAAAAGCTTGTGTCAAAAGTATGAACTTTAGTAAAACTTTCAGCAAGATTATTTGTAATAATGCAATCGTGGAAATATTTTTGTACAGAAACAAGTTTCCGCGAGTTTTGAGATGTTAATGGATGATAAAATCTCGTATTTCAGATAATATATTTCGCGTTTTTATTAAAATATATTAAGGCTAAAAGGATCAAGATACATTACCTCCTTGTAGCGCAAATATATTGATTATTCCACGCGAAAGGGCTCTCCTTAGGATACTGACGATTTCGTCACGCCTCAAACCATTAGCTGCTAGATGCAAAAGCGTGTTACTCGGAAAGTTTTCTAATACCTCCAAAGGCAGATAATTTTTATTGGCGAAAACTTCTTCGTTGTGCCACGTTAATGCGTAAAAAAGAGGCGAGTACTTATCCATTTCCGCGAGAAGCCTGATTTGCATTATAGAAATTTGTTTTAATAAAGTATTTTCCACAGAGATAAATCGATATCGTCACTGAGAGGCGATGATCAATTGTAATAATTCCAATAAAAGTCGTATAATAAACGAACACTAAGATGCCGATTGAAAATAATTATTTATCACATTATTAAATTAAAATTAGCCTGGATTTTTTTCGCTATACAAACCTTTGATAAGAGATATCAGGCTTTCTTCTAGAAACAACTTCAAAACTACAGAAGATCTCGTGTTTACAAGTCTTGTCTCTCAACAATCGTCGCAGATCTATGATCTCGCGATGACAATTTTCAGTACGAAAACTACACGTCGGAGAATCGTCCTCAGCATCATTTCTATCCGTGTCACTATCCTTCACAAAAACAAAGTTCCTCATTACGAATCGACGTGTAGTTGCGAATGAGTATATTGATGCTCCTCTTATTAAGCTCATACTACCGAGTCATTATCGAATTATATAATAACAGCGCGGAGATATGTTTGTAGTCGTGCATATATGTAGTATGGGGAATATCTACATTGACGCAACTGTTGACCTTCATATTGTATCATGTAAGAAGCAATGATAACTTCCGATAAGTTTTTCAGTGCTGATTGGATATTATACATGATTTATTAACAGTAAATATAAGGGAATAGTAATATAAATGTACGAAGTGAAAAATATATAAAGGATACCTAGTACATACATTTGGTGCGATGTATTAACTTTCTGGAAGTTTTCAGAACTTTATACAGAATAAATTATTCTATCACCTAATATCTTTGGCAGTACTAGTATATCTTTATCTGACGACACATACTTCAAATGCTATTTCCAGTAAATCGCAAAAAGAACCTCAACAAAAAACAAAATTATTTCAAAAGATAATCATGATTTATTGTTCCTCAAATATAGCGTCCTGCAAACCTCAGTTATAGGTATGTCGGATACTGGCGGTATTCCACCAGGAGTTGTCTCCGTCCTGTGCAGAGCGTGTTTGTCTGTGATAGTTTTAAGATCGTCGATATCCGGAGTTATTGACATGTTGATAGCTGGGTAAATGAGAAACGCAAAAGTAGCTAAGGCAGTTAATGCCCATATGGGAATCGCTACTGCCCAGTATTTAGATGGCAAGTATGTCACACCCAAATAATCATGCAATACCTCATCTGGCACTAATGCCCAAATCACATACAACAGAAAGAGCATGTTTGAGCCTATATACATGGCATACCCATACACAGCTCTGGGTCCATATGGTGCTGGAGTATGCTCCATAATTACGTATGTACATTTTAAAATATCAATAACACATAATTAATCAAAATGCTAGGAAAAGACACCATTGGCTAATAATAATTGTACGTTGGTTCAGGTGGGCCAAATTGTTGGATAGTTTCTGTGACTAGCAACAGATTGTCAAAGAAAGATGTAAGTCCCACACGTACCTTTCGTGCTTCTTTGCCATTAAATGACCTGCAAAATAAACAACAAATATTAGTAAAACAATCTGAAAGAGAATTCTATTGTTGTGTACTTACACTTCTAGGATATTATTGTTTAATACAAGCTCCTTAGTCACTCCACCTCTTGGTGGTTCTTTGTCAACACGGAGTACCTGATAAGCCACTTCTGCTTCCCTCACAGTTGGGAAAGGCACGGACAAATTTCTGTACAATATTAAAGTTCTTAGTTAAAAACAAGTTATAAAGTAACAAGATTTATTATTGTCAAGAGGTTATACTTATATAAAGTAAGCATACACTTTGAAATTGCTCATGGCATTTTACGACAATACCAATTATTCAAACTGAATTTCTACTGGTGTCACGCTAATCTGTAATCATATATTAATAAACAATTTGTATTAGAGTGCAAGAAAATGTGACTGTTTATGTTTATATAGATATTAAGATTTAATTACGTTAAAATGGATTTGAATATTTGATTTTGTTACAATTTAACTTAAAGCCGATTATGTGTGAAATTGTGTAACATTATATCAACATACCTGTGACTAAACAAATATCAAGTTTCTCCAGGCTTTTCAGAGAGGTTATAATAATTACCACGTTTACCTTCGCTCGTCACGTCACAATTAATCCGAAAAGTCTCCGCTACGAGTCGCCACTGTCTAATAAAAAATCTTACAATTCAACGACAGGTTACACGTACTTTTTGCTCTATTATGAAAATAGGCAAAATACAACCGCCTGTATCTTTGATAAAAACAACAATAATAGAATAATTCGAGAATTATCTTAAAGCCTGGAGTTTCTAGTCTTCGTTCTGGAGTTTGTCTTCGACAAATTAAGGGCACAACATTACTATCATTCTTTACTAAGATATATTAAGTTAAATGAGAAATGGGGATCCTCCAATTTTAATGAAATATGTAGTTAATAAATCATTTTTTATATATGACACAATGAACATGCTATAAAATTTTTTTTTATCAGATATATCCAGTAAAAATATAGTAAAATAAAATATAAATAAATGGTATCATAATTGTGTGTAAGGATCTCCAAATAATATTATTTAATACCTTAACATTTCAGATCAATTTCTCTGTAGGGTGAAATGATGAGGTAGACAATAAAAACTTAATAAATACTAAAACTGCTTACATTGATCATGTAACAAATTATAAAGAACTATTCAACAAAATTATTGCACAATTATTGCACAGTTCTACAAAATACTGAAACAAAGAGAATTGTCACTACTCAGAGAACAAGTTGCAATTATGAAATTCAAAAATTTGAGAGTGTCTCATGAACGCATCTTTTTCACTGAATTTATTTAAATAAGATCGAGCCACGTCAAAGAGTGTGGTTCAATGCTATTTATAAGTTACTTAAGCGTTATACCTTTTACGCCGGCACGAATATACATATGTAATAATTCTAATGTTAATGACAACGTGTTTCAGATGCCTTACTTTAGATCTATACGTATTGACAACAGCATTTGCCTCACGCATTCACTCATTCTCACTTTCTATCAAATTATAAAGACTATCGCTTCAACAATGTCTAGCTAACTACTCAATTGCTATTTATAATCTATACATTTCTCACGGCATTCTTCTCGAGAAATATTGGAACTTGTAGTTTTCTCTTCGCTTTTCTCTTCAAGATTTCATTGCCTACTTAATGAAACAGCGACACACAGTCAGCGGCAAACGAAGCTGTATCTTCCAAATGCCGAGATATTTCGAATTTCATATGATACCGTAATTAGCAAGATATCGTCGAGCTTGAAATTAAAAAATGATCAAATGTCTTGGGAATAACAATGAGTGGTCCGTTTGGTGAAATATTTCAAGTGCAAATTATATGCGTTCTTGCGGGTACACAGACATTAATGAATAACAGATAAATATAAAACGTAACTTCAGTTGAAAAATTCAATGTCTTTTCTTCTGCAGTGTATCAGATTCTTAAATCCAGTCCTTTATCATTGTATTGCACATTGCTTAGCGATTTGTTTTCTACAACGTATAATGAAAATTAAATGAAAAAAAATCGGCACAAATGATTACTACTCCAGATTATGCTAAAAGAGAATCAACTTCGAGTTCGTCGAAGACACATATATTTTTATGTCGCCGATTCCCACAATATTTCATCTCACTTTATATATGTGTATATATTCCAATATATTACATAAACGCATGTGTGTACACACAGCGTTAAACGGCTCGTATGCGATCCAACGATTTTTGCGACAAACCTTGCGTGAACATGTGCACGATAGTGAATATTCACATTACACGTTTAGCATTAAATGTGAAATATGGATGTGCAGATTATTTATAATGAATGAAATATAACTATTACTTGATACTATAAATTGGAATATTACTTTAATTAAGTAGTAAATTGTCACAATGCATTTTATTGTAGAATGTTATTGACACATGCTACTCATAAATTTGCATATTGGACGAATAAAAGATAGGCTATATTTAGAGTTAAATGTGGTGTTACATAGTAAAGACAAATCGAAAGTTCAACATGAAATGTGTGAGATGCAAAGCAATGTAAATTCGTTCAAAAAACTTTGTGCAACAAAAACTTATGCAAAACGTTGGATCGTATGCGAGTAGTTTAATATGGGCCGAAGTATCTAACCGCGCTTTACAATTAATTACATTTTCACTACTATGTAGACAATAGGCATTCAATCTTATCTCTTTGCAAGTGTTCAGACGTTACAGTTTCAGCGCAGGATTTCGAACCGCTGAAAATATTATTTCAAATGAAGATCTCTTTCCGAAACCCGATGTAAACTTTCAATAAGACTTTACAGTTTTATGTTGCTTATTAGTCTTTAGAATATTGTTGAAGCTAAAATTTTTATAAAATTGTTAAAAATCTTGAAAGTCTTAAAGCATTGAAATATTGAAATCTTGCAAGATATGAGAACTCTTTAAAAATGTTGACAGATAATTTGAATAATTCTAAAAGCCTCAAAACTTTTGGAACATTAAAATCCTTTTTCATGATACTATATAGCTAAATTTAAATTTTCATAAATTTGAAAACTTTTGTTACAGTACTAAATATTGTGGATACAATAGATATTGACGAATACTAACAAACTTGAGACATCTAATTTATTCGTGATGTTATTTTTGCAATTTTGAAGAAAATAGTAATTTCAAAACTCTTCTGACTCTCGAGTTCTGACTCTTAAGGTTATCAGAACTATGCAACCTTTTAGGATTGTCAAGATGTCGAGAGTACTTGAATCCGAATAATACTCAAAGCAATTAGAAACCTACGCTGTACCACTTCGAATCGAAACTATCTCGAGCTTCATCATCATCCCATTGCTACTTGTTGACTCATCACTACTGCTGCGTAATCCTGAAGACTGGTCCGATCCTGAGAAAGAATCTTCGCAAGACCGACCTAAGCTCCGGTTTAAGATCAAAACACATAACTTCGCAAAGCGAAGGATAGCAAGTTGATGCGTGCACCGCGAAACGATGATCGCTCATTTTGAGGATACGGGTGAGCAGTAACAGCAAAATCGGCGTCCATGCGTCGCGGTGGGCCTCATTGGCGATCGCGAGAAAATACTCGAGAGCCTCGCATGCAACCTCAACCAGCCGCGCCTCGACTTTAGGCCAGTCAGCGCGATGTACCTCGTCGCTATACATCTTGAAAAGAATGCGTAACGCGCAGGCGAGTGATTGTGTCTCCTGTTTCAGCAAATTCGGCTTCATATTGCCACGAAAGCTAGCTTTCCACAGCACATTGCGCTGTTCATGATCCGAATTGAAACTTTTGGCAAAACGATGTGATCGCAACAAGCACTCGACCAGTTGAAGAAGATGATCAGTTGTCAAGGCACAATACATGCCTTGCTCCTCTTTTTGCTGATCGGCGCCAGCCCTAAAAAAATGAGATTTCATAACTCATATCTTGGTATATTTGAATACAAATAAATGCTTAATTTAAAACAAGATAAAATGCGTACAAAAAATATCTTGGACAGTACTACAGTGTAAGAATAACGAAATAAAAAATGTTAAATAGCAATTTGCAATAAATTTTCACAGTACGTTACTACTACTTTAGAAATTAATAAAATACTCACTTTACAAGCTCTGATGTCTTGCCGTTCAACATATCAGCCTGCGCGAGCGCCAAATTTTCTTGATCCTCCTTACGTGAAGTCGCCGGATAAAAGACGATGTTATCAATGGTTTGTATCAGTTCCAATTGAACCACGCACTTGATCAACAATGCTGAGAAAAGTTTCGCCTTCGGCAAAGAAGACTCAGTGCTGAGACTCTGCGCACTGTTGCTCCTTTTTAAGATTCCAACGTGGTGACCATCCGCCTCGCCAGTGATCACATCAAGATCGGATTCCTTGTTAGGCGACTGAGGCTTCCATGTGAGCAACGCCGACGGTAAAGTACTCTCGAAGATATCTAGCACGCACTGACACGTCTTTTCCCAAGTCTGCTCGTCAAACTTAATACCGTTGCTGATGACCAGGTTCTCTAAGCAATTAGTACCCGATCGAGCCAACTGTTCGTTGTCCTGTTGAACGCACCACAGCAGTTGGGAGTACAGCTGCTCCAGCAATAATGGGCCCAAAATGTCATAGAATTGAGAGAAGACGTCTACGATGGCATAAAGCGCGTGGTTGCACGTTGTTGTCATCCACTCCGCTTTCTGTAACGTTTGTTGATACATTTGTTTATGTACTTATTTTTAAAAAGAAATTCATCGTATATTTTTGCAGTAACTGGTCACAGTTTAAGATCGTATCATCAAGTCAGCTTTTGGAAATTACATTCATGTACAAATTAAGTGCAGATTAAAATTAGAGACAGAATTTATTGTTTGGAAAACGAACCTCAGTATGTTGCTCGGGTAGCTTCATATTATCGAAAATCCTGAAAAGGACCTGAAAGAGATCCTTCCACCAGTGAGGTTTAAAAGATGCGCCATGTGTCTTGACAACATCGAAGAGCACTGTCAATGCGCGCGTCCTGACGTCCAATTTGCATCTGCTGACTACGCAAGATAATTCGAACAGTAGTGGGAACCAACCTCTTACCTAAAAGAAAATAGAAAAGAATGAGATAATGAGTATTCTATTATGGAAATAGAATATATCCTTTTTGAATATCTTTTCTTCTCTTTACAGATGATATTTTAAATAACTTCTATTTTTTTAAGATTTAGATACAAACTTCCTGTTTCAAAATATCTGTTACACTTCAAGAAAAACTGAATAAATATAATTTACATTATATTTACAAAAAATTACTAATATCTTCTATTTTTAGCTGCGATTAGAAAAGAAAGATAAGTTAATAACGCGTGAAAGGAGTGAATGAAGAAAACAATACCCAGGCTCGGTCCTCCTCGGACACCATCCCACTGTCGTCCATCATACCCTCGGCGAACAGGTTGGGATTCGCGTCGATATACGACGCGCAGGAACGTATTAACCGAATTGCCTCCATGCTGGTGTCTGGGAAAGACGCATTACATGCGAACTCGCTCAGACACTTGACAGCGTCCTGGAAGGAATCCACCATAATGCTGAAATCCTCCGCATACAGTTCATCTGCAAATACATGCGCTCAAATTAATATGTTAATATATAATCCGTTTAAAATATATTAATTCTGTATTGTATGTTATTATAGTTATTATAATATTATAGATGGTTATTTAAAGAAACCAATTTTTATATAGCCCAAAGATATCGGATAAAAAAATCCACAGCTTGTATACACGCAAAAATCATTAAAAAACTCAATGTTAAAACATTTCTGATAGTAATGCATTTCGTAAAATGTACAAATGTATTCGATCGTTATTTACTTATTATCTTGCCAGTCATCGAGAAAGCTAACTCAACGACAGATTCGTCACGATCACTAGCTGCATGATGGAAGACACTAAAGATGTTTTTCCAACCAGATCTGATGTTGGGTGCTTGCGAATGAACAATCTGCGCCACACATCTAACGACCATATCTCTGATGACGGGAGACCTACATCGGATTGAATCGAATTATACTTTGCGATTGGAATACATCTTAATAGATACACCATATAATATCATGTATAAAGTAGGTAAATTAAAATAAACATATTATTCAACGTTATTTTACGAAAAGTGAAATGAAAATAATTAAATTAATCAAATCGAATTACCTATTCTTTTTCATAATATGCTCGAACGGCCTAAGGAAATCCTTCTGGAACCTGAAGTTGGCGAATTCGCCTTTCTCGATAAATTTGGTGGCTAGCTGCCTCAGAGAATCTACGGCGAAGAACGAGATCTCTTGCCTAGGACTACATCCTACCCTATCAAAATGGTCACCAAGAACTTGCCAAATTCTAGACCACTGCAACCTGATGCGTCCCATGTTATAATACGAGATTTCGACGATTTTCGTGAGGGAAAACATACGCGGCTGTGTGGGATGTGCCAGCTCTTCAAGAGAGACCTGATAAAGCATATTTATTATTATGAAAATTTATTGCATAAAAAAGCTTATTTAAGAGAAACAAACCTGGCAGAGAGCTTTGACAAATTCAACAATAGCGTCACCGTCGAGTCTAGTGGAGCCGGTGAAGATGCGATCGACGGCCACGACAACGCTTTGCGAGCTGGTCTCGCCAATGGACTCCTTTACGCTGGGGTCCAGCGAGCTCAAGTTCAGACTGTTGGCTTGATGCGAACCGACAGAATGTGTGAGATTACCGAAATTCGCTAACGGCGAAGGAAAGTGTGGCTTCGATGGTGGACCCAATAGCTGAGGCCTCACACCTGTACCGATGAGTTGTGCTAACTCTAACTGCGAGATGCACTTGACGACATCGAGCCATGAACCACCCAAATAGTTGCCGTCGGTATGAGCTACTGTGATGAGGGTCTTGATAGTGTCGATGTTCTTTGCTTTCATCTCGGTAATGGGGGAGTTAGCCGTCAGCAGAGTGAATCTCGCCAATGCTTGTACATAGGCATCGCGCTCTAGACTCATGTGGAAAATGCAGGTAATACGAATGGCACACCTGAAACATCATAAATTAAAATGTGCAAATTGAAATCATATTTTAAATTTATATTTTACATATTTTACATATTAGATTTTTGTGTAAAAATAAATTTTGTTTTGAGAAACATAATTTGGCATGTATCTTACCTGATGCCGTCCAAGCAGAGCGACGCGATCTCCGGATCGTCGCAATCTTGAAGCCCGACGCTAAAAGCTGCAAGGAACGGCGTCCAGGCCATCTTGAACATCGGCCGCACGTGCTCCAAATGTTTAGCCGTGGTGAACGGTGCTTGAACGTGACTCACGGACTCCATGAGATTCTTCGCCGCAGTGGAGATCACCTCCATTTCCATATTCCACAACAATCGTCGTTTTTTCTCGCTCGAGATCAGCTGCTTGCCGGCGAGTCGGCTGTTGTTCGTGTTCGATTTCATCTTGATCTCATTACCAGCAATTTCGTCGTAGATTCTGGAAAGATATTCCTCAGGGAGATCTTCATTATCGCTGATACGTCGATTCAACCTGATAGAGGAAAATAAAAAGATCGATCAAATTTACTCAAACATCTTGCATAAAAAATATGTGTTACACATTTCTCGGCTTCCCATTTTATATTTAGATCATATATGTAGAAACATTATTATTTTAATATATATTACAATTAATCAAGTATCCATAAAAAATTAATTTTAATAAATTTAAGTTTTATTATATTTAATAAATCTATAAAACTCTTTTTATAAAAATGACAAATTGTATGCGTGTATGACTTTACTTAAAAAATATACACTAAAATGTACCTAATATACTGTTCCTTAGTCATCTTATTCTTGACTTGTGGCGAGTGCAAGTCGGTCGTCAGCATAATAATGGAAAAGCCGAGGACATAAGCTGTATCCGCGCTGGTGAATAGCCCATTATTAGGATTGCACTCGCAATAACGACTGGCGAACTTCTCCATCAAACGATCGATTTTCTGCGCTTCGCCGGGGAGTCGGAATCCTTCCAAGAAATACCTGAGTGCGGTGACTAAGTCGCGCTCGGCGAAATTCATCTGGTCGATGTAGTGGTACATCACCTGGTTATGGTTATGATCGCCTAGGAAATCACCGATGGCTGTCTTGTCAAGTCGTTCGTCCAGATGTAGCCACCTGGCCACGTCCTCCGGCGATGTTCCAAGCAAACCCTGCTCTTGCAGATATTGCACACCCTTTCCAGGTTTTCGACTGAAGATCTCGATGCCGGCTTCCCACACTTCCTTTTGCTGTTTCTGCACTTCGTATTGTTCTGGCGAATCTGGAACCTCCTTGTTGCCGGTCAAGCTGGAGTTGGCCGATGAAAGACTGCCAGCACTGCCGTAGCGTGGTAGCAAAGTCTCCGGTGCCGGATCTGGCGGATCTGACAACGGTTGCTGATCTGCAGGCACGCTGGGATTTACGTACAAATCCCGGCTCCATTCTACCATGCATTTTAAGATAGACACGAGACACTCGAGACCGCGGATGCGCATAGATTTCTCCTAAAAAAATAAAACATTTATGTTATTATATTTAATATTTTAGAATTTTAACGAATTAAAATCCTAGTTAAAGTAATTTGTTAATTACCCATATAAAATATGTATTATTTCTCATCTACTTTATAATTTTTCTATAATCTTTCATTTAAAACGCACCTGATTTGGCGATGCGCCAAGTTCCAAGGCCTGACGACCCTGGGCGATCTTAGATAGGTCGTTGACAAGCCTTTCAAAAAGGTTGGCGGCGGAGAGATCACAGTCGTAATTAACATAGATGTCTACGACGCTCTGAGCATCCGCGCAGATCCTAGTGAGTGCGTGTATAACCATCCATTTATGCTCGAAGGAGCTGCTGGAAGTTTCAAGGATATTCATGAAGATTTCCTTAAAGAACACCTCGATTTGCATTTTGAGATGCACTTTGAAGCGCGCAAGCAGTGCCAAGAATAGCGCCAACGACAACTCGAACACCTCCGGCACCGACGAGACTCCGTTCTTCGACAGGGCAACGCATAAGTATTGCTTGATCGCGATGACGAACATCTCATTGGAGCGTAACACCGGGCCGGCGTTTTGTAGAATTCCCAGTAATAGTTGCAACGACAAAATCTTCGAGCGGAGTTCATGCGACCTCGGATCTGGCGTGCCGTCCGGCAACGGTTTCATCGAAAGCTTGCAAAGAGCGCGAAACACGAGGAATGCATCCTTCTGCAATACATGCGTGAACTTGGCTGTGACCATATTGTCGTTCTCGGCGGTCGCTTCGTCGCCGTTGTCTTCCGGCCCATTTTCAAGACTGACCTCCTCCTCCAATGGCACCACGGAATTCACCACATCGTCGAGAATGCCTCTGACGATCGTCTGAGGATCTGTGGCATCGCCGTTGGTGACATTCTCCGTGCTTAGCTCTGCTTCAGCCTCACCATTCGCTACAACGGTGCCTCCTCCTCCCTCTTGCTGAGACTCTCCGTCGATCTTCACGCTCTCTTCTTCGGCCTGAGACTCCATACGCGCAAAGATCACGTTGATCATCTGAGTGAGAGTCGCGCGAGCCGTTGTCTGGTTCACCAGATTACGCGATGCCAGGTAGACATTGTAAACAGTGCGAATCGTTAGCAGCACTGTACCCTCGTGCACCTCTACATGTTGGCTGGTCGTCACAGTTAATAAAGCTTTAATAATCTGCAACTGTACACCCTCGTCGGTTTGCGGACCAGTAAAACAGGTACAGATGGTCTCGACGATGCGCACAATCAGCAGTTTGCTCGGTTGCGTAGAGTCAGGCACATTGCCGGTCAGGTGACCATACGCTATTAGCTTTTGCAAGCAATCAAGCGCAGTCACCACGATCCGCGGCGATTTACTTTGACATGCTAGTTCGAACGGCAAGAAGTACTTTTCTGCAGTGATGACATTCGAATCGCTCTTAGGCTGTGGTAATGCATTGGATGTCACCTCTACACCTTGCACAACTGGTACATCCTTTATCTCATTGCGAAGATCCTCTAAAAGATGAGTATAATGAAGAAATAGACAATTTTTTAAGTAGAGCAAGAGCCTTTATAATATGGCAAATTTTATTCTTAAAGCTTAAATTATAAAATAATTCTTGATTCTTGAAAGTTTTTCTAGAGTTTTAAATTTTTGATATCATAAGCTTAAAAAATTAATAAACTATGAAATTTTAGGTCTGTTCAATTTCAAAAAACTTCCTAAACCAATGTATACTGATGCAATAAAATGAAACAAGACAAAATATACTTGTCTCACTCTAACTTATTGCATCAGTATATACACCAATTAGTTCTTTGAAGGAGGTTCTTTGAAAAAGGACAGGACTTTTACTAGTAAAGTTAAAATTATAATCTAAAATTATTCAAGATTCTTTTAGATAATTCCTTTAAAATTACATACTTAAAAGTTTAGATTCTTGAACTCTAGTTTAAGAAAAAATTAGCAGTAGATAAATTATAAAAATTATATTTAAAAATAGTATGTCTCAGATGTGCTATCACTCAGTAATTTTATATAATAACACTTTCTTTATTTATAGTTTTAGAAAAATTTGTAAGTTTTTACCAAGTGCAGACTCGCAGGATTTCCTAAGCTGCGAGAGGTGCGAACGCTTGACATCCCGATCAGCTAATATCTTTTCCAAAGCTCGTACGATAAACATTTCTCTGGTTTTGGAATTATTTTGCATCATCACCACTCCCAACACTGCAGCTGGAGATTTATGCTCATTTAGTGCTCGTTGGTCAGTGTGTCAACATTGGTGCAAGCTAATGAGCAGCTGTATATGTAACTATATTGTATCTCTACTTGGCTAACTGCCAGCATCTTTCACCACCTTCTGATTCTATTGCCACATAACCTTTGTCTACGAATCTGGGAACATCATGAAGATATCAGTGAGGTAAGGTAAGGACAGGTAAGGTCGAGTAAACATCCTCAGGTTGACATATTCACCTAAGCTGGAAGATGACAGCTACATTTGATTCTTCGAAGCGATAATAGAACAGAACCGCGAGAACGCGGTTTCTTCGGAGACGACGCTCTCCGTCTATCGCATCGCCCGTCGGCGAATTTTGAACGAATATTAAACGACGACCGACACCACCATCCGACACTCGTACTGACATTCACCGGAACCGACCGGAACGCAACCGCGGATGACGACGACTCGCTCGCTCACCCGCTGTCGCGTTGTGCGGCTAACTTCACGTGACGACGTACTTCCGCAAGCCGCATTCGTGAGTCAGCGATGAAAATGTGATGTACGATAATATTATATTAGACATGCAATTTTGGTTTATTTCTTCGAGAATATGGATTCTTATTTTTACATTCTCTTTCATCGACAAAAATGCTTCTAAATTTGAGATATGTCTTCTAATTAGCTTTGTAAGCACATTAAAAAATACTTTTATCGATAAAAGTAAAGGACTTAATTAGGTGCCATATTCTTAACGTACATTTGAATGCTAAATACGCCTTTTTTATTTTTAAGCTAAATAATTAAATGGGATCTTGCTGATGCAAGAACTTAAAATAAAAAGAGTGTACTTAGTATTAGGATACGCGTTAAGAATGAAATTCGAAGAGTGTTCCAGCAGTCATACGAGTACATGTAAATAGTCCTTAAAGATTAAAATTATTTTATAGATCTTGGGTCTGTTTTCTATTGCTGAACTAGTGTACACTTTCAGAACTTAAAAAGAGATAGATATATAGATAAAACTTGGTGGAAGAAAGATGAGAAAGAACTAGTGCAGCCAGTTCAGCAATAAAAAACAGACCCCTTTTCTTATGGAGAATTCACACTGCGTCCGACCTATACGTCTGATATCCCTTAAAGGGACGTCTACATTGGAAGTAAATAGCAAGAAGTAGGAAGTAAGAGTAAGAAATTGACCAACCACAGTCGAATGTGAGAAGAATAATTAACTATGATTGGTCAATTTCTTATTCTTACTTTCTACTTCTTACTGTTTACTTCCAATGTAGACGTCCCTTTAACTGTTATATTATTGTGTTTGCTGGGATTATATGTCTGTCTTCTTTTTTTCAAATTGGACAGAGACAGATATAATTTAACTATCAAGAAGTTGGAACAATCAGCCCTAACTTATTGTACCAATACAGCAGTACAGCTGAAAAGAACAAATCTATTTTCATGTTTCATGTGCAGGAGCTATATCGTTTTTGATTAAAATATTCTTTTACATCCATGTAATAGATCTAAAAGAATATTCCAATAACATGAGCGCACGCGCGCTCATCCAATCATTGTGTTTTCTGAACGCAGCCATTGTTTACTACAACGACGCCAACTAACGGTCAAGTTGGCAAATTCGCTTTCTCCGTTTGCGATTGTCACGATCGTGTCTACATAGTGTCTATGTAGTGTCTTGTGATTGCGTATCTCGTTGAAGTCACAATTTATTCATCATACTCTGCAGCACATTCAAAATATTCCTTCGCTGCATATTGTCCGCAACCGCATATTTTCCGTATGCAAATTTCACTCGAATAACGACGCCGCGATTGCCGTAGTACAGTCGCAACAAGATGGCCGCAGCCGCGGCCGCCGCGTTGCTTGACGAGCTGATGGGCAGGAATAGGAACGTTCTGCCCAATGAAAAGCCCAAAGAGCTCAACTGGGAAGATCCTGAGGTACTTTATCATAGAAAATATGAAACGAAAGCCTGCGGGAGATCTTGGCTGTTTGAACATTTTTACGTTAATAGTTTTTTTAATTCCTTAATAGAAAACTTTTCAAATGTCCTTCAAAATCTCCCAAGACAAAAATATAAATATATATAAATATATTATTGGTTTGTACAGTTATAGGTAAAAGAAAAAATGATATATTAGGAATAGATATGTTCTATATTAATCCTTTGAGTGCAGAATACTTCAGACTAAATGATCTTTGATAACTGAATATTTTTGAAAGTTTTAAGCCCATTGATGAAAGAGAATTTTTCAAAAGATTTAAAGTAATAGACTGAGACGAGTGAATTCTTTTTGTTAAAATATATAAAATATTAATACAAGTGGCTATGTCAACACACAGTTATGATGACTGTTAACATTTGATTATTGACTGTTTAACAAAAAGTTCATTGAACATATATATGTCACTCAAAAAATTAATTTTAATATCAAAATTTACTTCTATATGAATACAGAATATAGAATAGATTTGGTAATTCTTCTCTGTTTCAGTTTTGTAAGCTGTACTTGGTTAAGTTCTGTCCTCATGATTTGTTTGTCAATACAAGAGCAGACTTAGGTGCTTGTCCCAGAATGCATGATGATGAGGCCAGGGAATTATTTGAAAAAGCACCACCTTCATATCGCAAGCAACAATATGAAGATGAATTCATCAGATACTGCCAGAGTATGTTAAATGAGGTAGAACGTAAGATTGTGAAAGGAAAGCAGCGATTAGCCTTGATTGGTAGAACAGAAGCGGTAAGTTTCTGATTGCAATGAATAGGATGCTGGAAACATGCAATTGTGATTTGTCTCGTTATAGCCGACATTAACATTGGCTCAAACGCAAAAAAATGAGGAACAGATTGCTCTATTGACAGAGAAAATAAACAAATTAGTAGATGAAGCAGAACAAAGTGGAATTCAAGGTAATGTTGAACAGGCACAGGGTTTGATGCGCCTCTGTGATCAGCTGAAAGAAGAACGAGAGACTTTAAAGAAATCCAATGACAATAGTCACTATAATCAAGTAAATATGCAATTCAATGATAGTAGTGGATGTAGTAATATATCAAATAATATCAGAAGAGATAATATTAGATATATCTATTGTTTTGATTTGTATAAATTGTAATTATAATCTACAATTGGCAAAACTAAAATTATAATTGACTTATTAAATATATATAATGTTTTATATGACTAAATATTAAAAATTTATAATTTACTATAATCGATTATATTAAGTCTTTAATGACTTTGCAGACAGCTGAATTAGCTGCAGCACAAGAGAAACAGATGGAGGTGTGTGATGTTTGTGGCGCATTTTTAATCGTTGGTGATGCTCAACAGCGAATTGATGATCATCTGATGGGCAAGCAACATGTAGGTTATGCAAGATTGAAGAGTGCCCTTCAAGAGATCATGGTAAACGTCGCCCGTTTTTCAAAATTAAATATCGCAAAATACAACGATTAAATACGGATCGCATAACATTAAATTAAGATTGTTATAAGTCATTATAAATATGCTTATATTATTCGGTACTAATCAATAATTATTTTTTTAGAGCAAGCGCGAAAAAGCGCGCGATGAAAAAGAACAGAAGAGAGAAGAAGAGCGAAAACAAAGAGCGCGTGCAAATGAAGAAATGGATAGGCGGCGAAGAGGAGACGGTGATAGAGATAGAGATCGTGATAGAGAAAGGGACAAACGTCGTAGACGTACAGACGATGATAAGCGACACGACTCAAGCAGTCATAGGTAAAAATAATTATCAAGTCTTGGTTGAGATTAGTATTAAGCTTGAAATTAAACTCGACGAAAATTAATTTTTGAAATTTTATATTTCTGAGAAAAATTTGAAAATCAATTCTGTTAAATATTTTCATACGCTTATACGTGAATTTTTTTATTCTAGTAGAAATACATTTTTTACTGTATATTTCTCATATCTTTTTTTGTGTAGAAACTCCGGGCATAGAAGTAGGAGTAGATCACGAGACAAGCACGAACGTCACCGTGATGAAGATAGTCATCGACGTCACAACCGAGGTAAGATAACTTATTGAAACTCTGATAGTTACGTAAAGATGGAATTTTACTTGTGATAATAACATACGATAAAAATTGTAATAATTTCAGGAACTCGCGATCATCGAGGTACTAGCCATCACAGCCGGCGCCGACACCGCTCGCGAAGCCGAAGTCACAAGTAACTTCTCTTGATTGGTTAGTGAGTGAGAAGTAAGCCAGGTATGCACCCAACAATATAACCATATTCGTCTCAATTACTGTACAGGTACTCTTTCGATCCAGGTGAGTTGCCATTCCGATGCACATAATACATATACATGATAATATAATCTGTGATGTTTGAAGCGCCGCGTAAATCGCACAGCAAGTTCGTCTCGCTCTCTCTGAAACACACTCTATCTCTCTCCGCCTCTCTCTATATGAATTATCATCACTAGTCGTTTCTCGTAAAGTAAAATTCGATTACATTAATCCGACACCATTGCCTTTTCAATATCACATTTTTCCTTACCGTTAAAAACACAATTTGTAATTAATGATACGATTAGGTGTATAACATGTGAGAGATAGTGAATTCAACAAGCCAACAAGTTTTATCTTGATACTTATCTCTCTAGGTAATATGCTATTATCTACAATGAAACAATTAATTTAATGCAACAAGGGTCTCTAATTTACTTTTCTGTGACTTGGCAGAATTAATTTCAAAAATAAATTTTAAATTCTTTGGAGTCAGGTTATATTATTGCAGTGATTTTAAAGATAATTGTTTTTACGAAGAGTTTTGATTAAATCCATATTTATTAACAATTAATCTCAACTATCACATTGATCATGTTCTAAAATAATTGCAAAACCGGCACCGATTAATAATTTAATCTTTGTGTGTGACGATTGTTTAACAGTCACTTTAATCGTAATTAATTTATTAATACGTTAAAATGATAGCGATAATAATAGATTATTGTCCAGCACTGATAGAAACGCAATTAACTAACTGGTATCACATACTGTGCACTTTTTTGTATACCAAGCAAGCTGGGAGAAGGTATACCTATGCTTGCTTCCATCGATTATAATTCTATATCCGAGAAGCGGATAGACATAGATCCAAAAAGTTGCCTTTTTTCCAGGAGAACTCGTGAACTTCCGTGAACTCATCCGGATTCGTGGATACACGGTTTTAAGATGTTTTAAGCCTGGATAAAAATGTACAATCAGGTTAACATTCAATGTTTAAGATAATGTAGAACCATGGTGTTTATATCATATATCTACTTCCAAATAAAACAAATTGCATTGTACAAAAGTACAATTTGTCAGTTACTTTTTTTGTCATTATAACGTGGACTTATCGCATTGTTTCTAGATAACCGAATTTTGAGAGTTTTTCAATTTGCTTCGTTTTGTAGCCTGTATGTGAGTTTGTATTCCCCGTTGCGAGGATAATGTTGGATCTTATTCTTCTCTGCTTTTCGGACATAGAACTGTCTTTCGTAGGTAGGTTCGTTAAAAATGCGGGATTGTTCGCGCGTCGATTAGAGAGAGGGAGAGAGAGAGAAAGAGATTTAGTGATTTAGTGTGGAGGGGACACAGCTCTCAGTGCCCGCTTCGTAGAGCTTCGTCCACGACTGCAAATGCACGAGTGCACAACTACGAGTGCGCCCTGCAAACGTGTGACTGTGACTATACGAAGCTCTAGCTTCTGCCACGCAATTGACGAGGTATTTATGCCGGAATGATAATACCAACACATGTCCTTCTGCCCAGAAGAATATTCCCCGTGCTTCTGTTCTCGAATACCGTTTTCTTCGAGTCTTTGGCGAGCTAGGGATCTAATCATTCTAGGTGTGTTGCTTTAGACAGTGCAGGAATTCTTCACAGGGTGACTGAATCTCTTTATGTACGACTGAGACAATAAAGGAAGGAACTAAAACATTTATCATTAAAAAAAATTAAGATTAACATTAATGGACTACATAATCTTTATCGTAAAAAGGATATTTCTAGACGAGAATACCATTTTCTTTCAATACAAGAAAATGAATATTAAAGGAAGAATACAAATAATACGATATCTCTCTCTCTAAAAGCAAACGCTGATTAATATTTTTAATACACGATCTTCCTGAAGGGAAAACTATTTAAATATTTTCGGAATTCACCGATAAGTCACTACCTCATCTGACAATGAAAGTTAGATGATTAGGCGCATCAGCCGATGTTCGATGTCGTTAACTGAGACAATTGATAACACTATAATAATAATAATAATAATAATAATAATAATAATATGATGCGCTTATTAAACAAACACATAATCAACAGAGAGACAGGATTTTACCAGCAAGGCTGGCATATGATTGCACAATGTTTGACCACTACAATGAATCATAATTTGGTGACACTGCAGCTAAAACTCTGATTCTCTATTTTCAGAACGAAGACGAGAGAAGAAATAACTGGAGATTATGCAAGACATTGCTTAACGTATTGTTAAGCTAAAGATTTTGCATAATCTCAACGATGGTGAAAAAGGGAGAGAAAGAGAAGACAAACGAAGGAAACAATATGCATCGAGACCAGAGAAATTGGGATTTAACTTATGATACGAGCAATTGTTACTTTAGGCCGTCTATACATAAACAGATCAGCAAGGTAAATTGTCTATACATTGTAATATTCGTAAGATTGTTATTTGAAATTAATAAAACAATATCGTAACAAAATTTCATTAGTTCTTTCTTTTTTATTTCGGGTAATTTTAATTGAAAGTAAAATATTTTAAACAATTGAGTTCTATTGAAAACTTGTGGTTATTAAAATATAGATTAATACGACTAAACGTTAATGTAAATGAAATTAAAGTATGAATAAAAAAGATATTTTGTATGCAATTATTTATATATTTTGAATATACAATTTTTTTATTATATATAATAAATACAGTAAATTAATTAAAACTACTTACTAATCTACGTTAATACTGTACATAACAATCCTGTTCTGGTATAAAAATAAATCTGCATCAGTAAGTTTATTTCAGTCCGATTAAATTCGTCACCTGCACAATACAATAAAACATCTTTCGTTAATTATTATCGTCATATTTTTTACTCGAAAATATTTGTAATATTTCTCTTTTTTTTAATGAAAACAAATTTCAAGTGAATATTCTAATAAAGAATGTTTTGACACACCTAGTAGCATAACAAATTATAATAAAAATAACAAAACCTGAAAATATAACATTTAAAATGTTTTCCAAGTTATACAATTTCAAAGATCATCATTTCATCATTTGGCTACTTGATTATTTGATCAAATATGTGAATTACCTGTTCATATACCGTCCAAGCCATAGCGGTCATTAACGTTCGTCTCAACATTCTGGGAACCACACCTTTGAAGTATCCTAATATACCGTATTTCCTATAGATGAACAACGTTGCGTGGTAAATGCCATTAAATTCGTTTGGATATAATTGCATTTTAGTCTTGATAACGTCTGCTGGTTGCGTCACCATAGAAGCCATCAAACCAGCTAAAATTCCGCAACTGAACTGAACTGGTACCGATGGCTTGTTGGTTATCTTTTCTGGAAACACAACAGAAGGTGCTTAATTTAACAAGATTTATAAATATAGCTTAAATTTTTAAATTTTTAGCAAGTTCTAATATATATATCGATATTAGAACTTGCTAAAAACATTTTAAATAGCTATTTTATAATGCTAGATTGTAATCGCACGTTCTATAAAATCAACAAATATTCCTACAATATGTAGTGCAGGAGTATATGTGCGTGTGTGTGTTGTACACACATATAAGTAACGTCTTTAAGCGTGATATATAAAACTTTACGTTTTTTTGTATGAAAATTCGTTCAATACATATATTTAGGAATAATTTGTTCAATAATTTTGTTATATATTTGACATTAGGTTAAAACATACCTGTACTAAGAGGTAGATTGGTAACAGCCATCTTTTTTAATTGAGTGTAAAACATGAGATATAAGCCACTGTAAGGAGCGTCCCGTAGAAGTGTGGGTACTAAACCTCTCGACAAGCCTCTTACTCCTTCCTGCTTGTAGATCAACTTCAGAGCTTCGCTAATACTGTTATATTTATAAACATCGCTCTATAAAACACAAATATAATTTCTTTAATCTATAGAACCTTATTATGTTATTTCGCTTATTATTTCTCAATTATGTTATTATTATATGTATTGCTTTATTTCTCGTTTATCGTACCTCGAAACGCGTTTTCACAACCGTGATGGGAATCAGTAGAGCACCAGACATGGATCGCGCAGTGATGCCCAAGCAAACAGCTTGTATAGCCGTCAGTTCCTCTAAGCCAAAAGTATGTTTCAGCCAATGTAACGACGAGAAGTACAGGCCTACACCGGGAATCACTCTAGTGATAGACTGCAAATATAATATACAATTGCCGTCATCAATATAAACCGACATTCGATCATGAATTTTCTCAAATTTTTAGTATATTTTACCGGCGTCATCCCTTTCCAGAGTCCGAAAACATTATCCTTCTGCACGATATGCGCCACTGTGCCCAGCATTCCACTTCTTGACGTGCTACAGGAAAGGTTCGGATGATTAACAGATAATAGTTTCAGACTAATCGTTAAAAATTAAGAAATAAAGCATCACTAAAAATCTAATTAGGAAAATTAATATTGCTGAACTTTTAACAACAAACCGATGAAATCAATTAAACGAAAAAATTATTTTAAATTACGTAAAACTTATATTTGTAAGAGACATAAATGTGAAGACAATTCTTGAAAATGATGATTTTAAACTTTAAATTATTATAATTCAATTTAAACTTGACAATATATCTTAAATCTCTATATGATCCAAGTTATACGCAGTTACGCATTTAAGATGGAAAATTGGACTTCTGATTTTATTGCAGTGAACGAGATTGGAGTATCAAACTTACGCATAATGAACATTGACTCTGCTCTGAAGTCTGGTCTTCACTAAATCCAGCGGCTGGAAAAGGATTGTGGAGAATGTTCCGGAGAAAGAACCCGCAAGGAACGACTTTAAGACTGGATACTGCAAACATTCAATAATTTTTTACAAAAACTCATTATTCGATAAGTTTTCAGTAAAAAACGTTTTAGGAAAATTTATTCGGATTACAGACATTAACTTCATTGAATTCTAGTACAGATAACAATTATCGTGAATGCGTGAGGCGGACGATAACGAATTAATGTGTGCTGTCGTGTCACGAGTTTGCTCACGTGAAACGAATAATCTCGGTCAAACGCACGATATAAACGTATAGATATGTAATAGTTATCGTTATGACACGGGACACGGGGTTATCGTCGCGTTGCAAACAGCTATTTTTTCCTCGAGAATTCGATACATTAATTACTCGCGTGTTTCTTAATAGCTCGCGTGTTTCTTAATAACTCGCGTGATGTTTTTTAGTTGAGTACTGCGCGATTCTCGTGTTCTTCATTTACTTCGCAGGGGATCCGTTTGTTTTCTTGCTTTCTTTCTTCGACAGATAAGCAGGCTCAAAAACAATTTCATCAGATTGATGACGAACTATTTGCGTGAATTTTTTTTCGGGCATTATTATTTGATAATAAATGATCGACGTCTTATCAATCGCCTCATTTCTTTCGTTATCAACTCTCTTCGCGGGAGGCTTACGAGTCATGATAACTTTTTTTCACAATGTGAAATGATATATAGAATGATCATAGTGAAAGAGGAGGAGACATTTTATAAGGAAATTCTAAAAAATTCTAACTTTTTCTAATTTTTACTTATCTCAGAGATTACACATATTGCCAATCTTGGGAAAATTATAGAAAATTGGCAAAACTAATTAGAAAATTTAACATAGTATATAAAACTTTCATTATATTTATATAGATCTGCAAGAGAACTTATTGCTTGCAACTTATATATATTTCATATTCTGAATATATAATTTATTATTATGTACAATAAAAAGGGAGTTTTCAAAGCTCCTAGTTTTTCACATGGTATAAATTTTGTTAAAATGTACTTTCTTGAACAGACAATGACATTAAAACAATTTGTCCTGATACTTAATGAAAAGGAAAAATTTATGTCTGAAAAATGATGTTTCTCTCATGTTATTACAATTCAATATAATTAAAATGAGAAAATTAAATTTTTGATGATTATCTCTTAAATACTAAGTTCATTTAGTTCATTCTTATACTGAGTACTGAATAATAAAGATGCAATATTTTTTTGCTCATTTAAAAAATATGGTACAAATATTAATTGTAAGATAAATACTAGTTAATATTTTCAATGACATCTTTGAAAATGCTTAAGAAATGCTTAGTCTCAATATTAATCAATGTCATTTGTTAACAAAAATGAATCATGAAATTTTTACACTCAGTTTTTATATTCATGTTAAATTTTTTAACCTATACTTATATATACTCTCTACTTATTCGGTAACTATTCATTCTCAATTAGAGAACATTAAATATTAAAACTGCATTAGTCTTAAGTAAAAATGCTTATGTTTTTACTGCTCTACTTTTTTTAAAAAAGTGAAAGTAAATAAGGAATGATTAAATATTTGTTTTAAAATTGACGTTATCAAAAGATTTTTTAAACAGTAATAGTGACGCTTGTAAGCATTTTTAGCATAAGAGTTACTCAAATGAACTTAGCTAAGATTAAATGATCTGTCCAATTTGTAACAATAATATTTATGAAATAACTTACAGTACTAAGGGCTTCCATGATGATTCACTTATATACACTGCTAAATTTTGCTGAATTATCCACTACTATTAAATATCAAACACACATGTGCAAATTTGCACTTAAAATTATATTTACTGTTACAGAATTATTTAATAATTGTTCAGGCCTCAGCATTTGTTCATTCCCTTATTAACACATACTAATTTTTACTCTAGCTCTACAGAGCTGCCTTTAGCCCTGGCAAGATACTGAATCACATTTTGAACGTGCTGTCACTCTACTTACATCCTTTCTTATCATCCCACCAGTGTCGAGGTCAATAAGATCATGACCCTTCATATCGGGGCATATTTAAATAACAAAAAGTTTCCAGACTATCAGTTGTTGAAACGTGACTTATACGGGAAAACGTGATGTACTCTGTTCTCTTGCACGAGACACTTATCTCGTCCTACGATTGCTTATCGTACCTTTTTGGTACCTTTTTGGTACCTTTTTGGTATTTCTATTTATAGCAAGATTTGGAATGTTGATTAAATATGTCCCTTTACAATACGTCCAACTGGAATTAAAAAATCAGAACTAAAAAATGTACTAATACATGTGTATGTCATAGATTTTGAAGGTAGAAGCAAAAGTAACTCGTATAACACGTAATTTTTGGAACCAATATATCTTGGGAAGTTTAGATGTTATAAATATATAACTTATTTAAACGAAAAATTATACAAAAGGATCGCGTGAATTAAAATATATATTAGTAAACATGTAATAACCAATTGATTCAGATTTATTCATCATATATGAGCTTGTCCCGTGTCATCTTCATCAGCGATATTTCCACACCAACAATGGGAAATGAAACAATAACTTGTATCGAAATTCCAAACACGTAAGAACAGAGGTCATACGACGGTCGAAAAGTCGCGGATGACTGCTGAGGTTATCTGGCTGCGATCGCGAAATCATTATTCTGCGCCGATTGACGCGAATGACGTATTTACTGAATTGTTTATCTGCGAAACTTGACGCAAATTAATTGTTTAATGCTAGCATGTAGTCGCGCAAATCAGCGTAAATCTTGTCAATATTCATTGGATTATAAACGCAACGCTATATTATTTCAAGCTATTTTTATTTATTTCATTGGCAGTACTAACAATATTATTTTGTCTTTAATATTTGTGACGAGGAGAGAATTCCGTTTTTATTTGTGGCATATATAAAAAATGCTGATTAAATGGTTCATCACTTGAAACTGACGACATCTTACGGTTAGGTGACAGATTCTCGAAAAGTAGAGGGGATAATGTTGGTACCAAGGAAAATCTCTACACGATATAATTTAAAGATCTGTTCTTTATAACTGCACTGCTGAACTGGTGCAATAAATTAAAACGAGGCAAGTATCGTTTTTTCACTCTAACCTTTTGCATTAGCAGTATGCAGTTACAAATAACTGATCTTTAAATTATATCGTGTAGAGATTTTCCTTGGTACCAACATTATCCCCTTCACTTTTCGGGAAACTGTCGCCTAACCCATTTTACGAAGCAGAAAGAAGCCTGAGAGCGGGCACAGCTTGATTTTAGCAGAGAGAAACACACAATACGTTTTAGCCGACACCGATTTTCACGCTATTTGATGCATCATCTGCACCCATTTCTTAGGTGGAACTACGTTCCTTACGCTTATTTTCAGACTCTGCCGGTAAGTGTTGATTTGTTGCATATCATTCTATGCCTATTTTCTGGCGATTCGTGTCCGTGCTAAGTGCATAATTACGTGGTTAAGAACATGGACAATCCATGTTTTTAACCACGTAATTATGCGCTTAGCACGGACACGAATCGCCAGAAAATGGGCATAGAATGGACATGCAACAAATCGACACTTTACCGGCAGAGTCTGAAAATGGGCGTAGGGAACGTAGTTCCACTTAAAAAATGGATGCAGATGGCGCATCAAACAGCGTGAAAATCGATATCGGCCAAAACGTATGGCGTAGCCACTCTCAGGTTTTTCTGTTTCTCTCTGCTGTTACGAATATCTTTAAACTACGTTATCTCAATATCTTATAGCATGTTCGACTGGCTCTGGGTTAACCCACTCTGGGTTATTCAGCCTACGTTTATTGGTCGAACAAATACTTATAAGCTTTATGATTGGCTAGTAAAGACTTAGACGTCATTAAGGATGTATCTGAGCTATATAAAAATAGTATCTATTTGATAAAACTTTGGGTAACTTTTCCTTAATTATCTATAACATACTGAAAAAAATTTCAAATCGATTCACTAAACCGTTGAAGAGTAATTATTATGTTAATTTTACACGTGTTCTTATGGCAAAAGCAACTTTTCTGAATGTGAAAAGTAAAAACGTATAGAAAAAATACGTATAACCAAAAATTTAAGTATTTTTATACATATAAATCCTGAATTATCTGAACTATTTGCGGAATTTGATTAGTTTTCACAACACGGTTTCAGAGAAATTAATTTTTATTTGTGACAATTTTGCGATTGTCATAAGAAGTTAGTAATTGGAAATGCGGTAACGTTGCAATCAGCTAATATCAAATGAATAACCTATAAATCAGTATAATAAAGTTACGTCGTAAATTCTTGTTTTGTCTGCATTGTTTCATGCAGAGGACAAGAATATAAATTAAATAATTTCGATGAACAATAAGATAAGTGTAAAATTTGAGGCTTTTATTGTTTCATTTAACCTGCCAGGACAGTGCATTACTGCTAACATACAAGCCATAAACTATATGGTACGCTGTTGCTACGTTTAACATTTTTCATTAAATATTTATAATAACAATAAATAATATTGATAGTTATTGTTCAGACAATGCATATTTACCTGTTTTAACTTATCCCAATTACTTTTTCTCCTTTGCAATGATGGATATTGATGTTAAATAAATATGAAATTTAATGTTCTAAAGTTGAATTCAGGACATTTTCCCTGCCAAAAGTTTTATTATAGAAAGGTGAAGAAAAGCAAATAAAAGTAATAAACTGTTGAGAAAGTAAAAAATAACTTTTTAAATAAGAAATATATTATGTTAGCCACTATTTATATCACTTATCACTAGGTTTACAACAGATAGGTTTGAAGCAGATATTCAAATTTTTCGTTTTTCAAGCACTTTTGTCACCGATTGTATCTCAGATACATCCTTAATCGCTCTCGGAGCGATTAACCCAGGGCCAGTCGAACACGCTGTTAATATCGGGTTTGCGCATGCGCTGCGTCTGCGCGGAGCATCCTTCCGTACACGTCCTTCCGCCGTGCAGCTACACGGCGTATAGTCGGCCATTTTTACCGTGTCCAGCGAGGCAGGAGGTTGTCCTTTGCGATCGTTCTTCTTACGATAAGAAGTAAGTATAGTATTAATATGTAATTGTAACACACTGAATAGTGCGAAATGATGCAATGTATTGTGATAATTGTTGTAGAATTCATGAATAGTTAATTTCGCGTTGAAGTTTTGTAATACTTTTCCTAATACGTCTTCCGCTCTTCATAAAATGGCGGACACGTGGCAATTATTCTAGATTTACGGAGCATGTTTCTTTTTCATTTATTATACTTAAAATCCTTATTTTCTCCTTGTGTAAAAACGTATGTGTATTTTGAGTGCGAATAGTATATGAAAGTGTTGCAAAACCTACGACCTAACCTATAATCTCTCTTTCTCGCTATTAACAGATTTCGTGCCGCGTGTTGTATATACCCAATACTAGACTTTCTATTCGTATTGTGTGATATTCTTACTATTACATACAACAGTTTTTTTATATAGTATCGATGCGCAAATATCGCGTTTGTGCTAATAACATAGTTATAATGTATCCGTGACAACGTGGCTTGTGTACGACGGCAAGTTATGGTTAAGTTCGTTTTACACGTTTTTGTGTTGAAAGCATTATTTTATTTTTCAACAAGCAATGAAATTAGAATAATGCTTTCAGCACAAGTGTTCAAAACGAATTAAGTCTGTCACTGATTTAGTCTGAAGAATGTTGAACATTTCCAGTGTTTGTTAAGATTTACTTCAGAAGCTATATAAACTTTAGGAAAGCTTTTGAAAGATAAAAAAACTGTTTTAATGTATACCATATATAACTTGGAAATTAATCATTTTCAGGTAACGATCTTTCAATATGGTTAACGGAAGAATTCCATCAGTCTTTTCCAAGACTTATGTTACTCCCAGGAGACCATATGAGAAAGCTCGTCTGGACCAAGAGTTACGTATTATTGGAGAATATGGACTCCGTAATAAGCGTGAGGTATGGCGAGTGAAATATACACTGGCCAAAATTCGTAAAGCTGCTCGTGAGTTGCTCACCTTGGAAGAAAAAGACCCAAAGCGTCTTTTTGAAGGTTAGCCATGTATACAAAGTATATTTTATTAATAAAATCTTTTACTGTATTTACTAATTTTAAATTTAAATACTTTATTTAATACTTTATTTTAAATATTTTTATAACAAATGGTCTGTTCTTTTCAGCTGCACTGCTGAACTGGTGCAATAAGTTAAAGTGAGACAAGTATATTTTTTCTCACTCTAACTTATTGTACCGGTTCAGCAGTACAGCTGAAAAGAACAGACTAAAATTCCTGTATGTGAAATTCTACTTAAGATTAATTTTTAATTATAAAATCTAAGACAAAACATATCTTGTCAATATAATCCTTTACTATATTTATCAATAGTAATATTTTTATAATAAGATCTAACATATGAAACTAGAAAACTAGGAAATTTTTAAATTTAACAGAATAGTACAAAGAACATGATGATTACGCAATTTTTTCTGACACCTCTTGTCTGAATATCTTTGTAGATGTAAGCGTATACTGAAGTATTTTTTTTCTTTAAATCTGACAAAAAATACTTGTATATTTGCATCATAACATAGAAATACCTTTTCAGGAAACGCTTTGTTGCGCCGTCTGGTAAGGATTGGTGTATTGAATGAAGGTCACATGAAGCTCGATTATGTATTGGGCCTAAAGATTGAAGACTTCTTAGAGCGACGTCTGCAGACTCAAGTATTTAAGATGGGTCTGGCCAAGTCTATTCATCACGCCCGTGTTCTTATTCGTCAGCGGCACATTCGGTAAGTAATGATACATCTTTATCGCTAAAACAAAAAATCTGTTTCCATTATTGAAGGGAAATAAAACATATCTTGGAAAATTACTGTATGAAAAACATTGAAACATAATATTAGTGAAAGTATATTTTGATTATCGAAAAGAAAACAAAATTTTTAATATTGTTAAAAAGACAACTTAGGAAATAACACAATTTTTCCAATTTTGGCTTGACCAAGAACTTTTCTCATCAAAGCGTAATTTAGAAATGAGAAGTCAAATGCCTTAAAAACTGGGCAAGAAATGGCCGAATTACCTTGCGGCTTATTTCTAATCTTTAAGGCAAGATTAAAAGCCTGGTTTAATCACCGATGGAGAGGTTTTTTCTTTATCGGGTTCTTACCATGCTACAATCTTAAATACTTACATTCTGCGAATGGTGTTTTATTAATTTATCACATTTTTTTTTTTGTAAATTTGATCTGACTTGGTATAAAAAGTCATAATATTTCAAAATAATATTTAGGACTTGTAATTTGATGTGATTATTAATTTGTATTTACAACATTTTTCAAAACGTTCAATGTGCAAAAAACTGGAACTGAAACTACAAAATTCTGTATTCATGTTCAAATGTTAAGAGTTTTATAATCCAAATGAGAGATTCTCTCAGGAACTTCGGTAGAGTCATGTTAAAATTCAGGAAATTTTAAAAAGGAAGATGATAAACGAATTCTGCTGCTCAGGTATCAGGATGATGACACTCGGTCGATTGGTCCCGGTTGACCGTACATGTTGGGCCTGGATTCGAAGCTCATATTCGTTAATTTAACCAAACACTTTTGATTCGCGCAGGCCACTTAAGTGTCTTTCATGGGCACTTAACGTCTGTTGATCTATATCCTTTGTGCTCGTTCAGAAAAGAAACAGAACACGAGGAAGCTGCGGTAGAGTTTTCACTTTTTTACTATAGAATCGTCGATGTGATGGTTCGACAGCGCTTGTGTACAAAGAGAGCCCGTGATGCAGCGACAGTTTCTCCATTTTACAGAGTGCGCAAACAGGTGGTGAATATTCCCTCGTTCATCGTGCGACTGGATTCGCAGAAACACATTGACTTCTCGCTCAAGTCGCCCTTCGGTGGCGGCAGACCTGGTCGCGTCAAGAGGAAGAACCTGAGGAAGGGAAGCGGTGGTGCCGCTCCAGAAGAGGAAGAGGATTAAACAATCGTTGTGATTTTATTGTTTCAATAAATATGCGACGTGTGTAATAGACTGTTTCGTTTCTCTTTTCAATATTCCGCATATCTCTTGCAAAATTGTCCTTTCCTGAATTTTAGAGTTCAAACATCCAGCAAACATGTTAGAAACATTCTTTTTCATTGAAAAAATAGTCTGGTTTTAAGTGCTTAGTCATTCGTGTGGGTTTGTTTCGCCTTCCTTCTCTTTTCTTCTCATCTTCCTTTCATCGAATATGTTGAATACCAATCTTTCCTATTAGTCGATTTTATTCTCTTTTTCTGACCTTCGATGTTTGAATTTACAAAGGAAAATTGAGCTTTTTGGTTGACAGCTGTTTAATGATTCAACAGTTAAACAATCTTTGAAGAATATATCTATAAAATCTTTGAAAAATATATCTCCAAAAAAAAAACAGATATATGAAACAATTAAATCTAAATTATGTAGTAAAGATATAAAATCAATAAAAAAAACACTAAATAATAACGAATGTGATGAGATGTTTCAAGACCTGAAAAAGAAGATAAACAGCAATTAATAATCGATGATGAATCTTCTACTATATTTGATTGTAGTTCCAATAAGATGAGTAATACAATGCAGAAAATTCTATAGAGAACAAGAAAATAAATATAACTATAAATTTTTTTATTTTAAGTCATTAATTATGTATATTATAATCACATACCAAAGAACACAGTATTAATGAATACTAAAGTTCCCCAATATGTTTTGAGATCAACTATAAACAGAAGTAGACTAAATACCAGTACAAGTGTACTAAATCCTGATAAATCAGAAGTCCTGATAAATTTGACATATAGTAATGTTATATATTTTAATATATAAGAGTAATAAGAGGATAAATATGCAAAGCAGTATGCATGTGATTGAGCAGCATATAAAAGTACTTCTCCTACATTCAACTTTATCACTTGTTAGCTCAGATTTACTTTTGAAATTTTATAGTCACATTATAATTTATAGTTTAGTTTGTCAAGAATATGAATATAAATACAGAAATATTTTATTTTTTGATTAAATTTATGTTCGAAAAAACTACGAGTTCACGAGACTATCAAATCAATCACACTGAAACATGATAAAATTATTAAATGTTGCAATTCATTGTTAAATAACTAGATATTGGTATAATAATTAAGATAAAATAATTTCATTCACCCAGTGGATTCAATTTTGATTGACATTTTTAAATATTTCTCAGTTCATGTAAAACTGCGTTGCACAGCTTTTGTATACCATAAAAGAGCTGCGCAATGATAACGAAACTGTCGTTAACTCCAATAACGAGTATAATTGAAATTATAGTTATACAAGCCATATAATTAAAATTTTATACTTTATTCTTTATTTAGTGCAACTTTCATTATTTCATCTAATGAAACTTGCATACTAACATTTTTTCTGCATATAATATATAAAATGTTGATATTTTTTGTAATATCTTGTCAGTACAAACATTCTACATATTTTCTGTATTATGTTGTAAAGTACTAATATATGATAAATAAATAGTTAATAAATGTTTTGTATGGACTATGTACCTGTTTTTTTTAAATTGAATTTTAATTCTTATTTTGGAAATTTCAGTCCAAACTGGTTCCTTTACTATCCTGCGTAGAATCTTATTTGACATAGGAATAGACATATTGGTTAATGGACAAAGAAGCTTGAAGATGTGTATTTGTTTTATAGATCCTACCATAAAGAACTCCAGCAGCATTTGGAAATAAGCTCAATATTCAGATATGGCATATTTTACACTTAAAAAATGCAATACAAAAGATTTATGTATATAAAAGATTTATGTATACTGCTTTGTAACACAAATAACATTTTTACTGTATTCTTAATTATAATCATAGAATGACTATTTATTCTTTTACATCTACATGAATGAGGAATCATAATAAAAGTATGTTCAATTCTATTTTATTGCAATAGCAGGTATATTGTAAAGAATGAGAAACTTTTGGGTAGCTATTTTGCTGAACTTGTTTATTTACATGTGTAGTGGCAACATATAAATTACCTAAATATAAAGCTAACATTCATTTCTTCCTAGTGTATCCCACTATTCATATTTATCCTTGATATGCTTCCACAGTTTCTGAAAAAAAAGATTAAATGACTGTTATCCAATCAGTGTCATATTCTAATTCGTGCATCGGAATGTAAATTGGAACATGTCATTTTCGTGCGACATAATAATAAATTAATACTAAGAAAACTTGAAGCAAATTTTCTATACAATATACTATATTTCCTCGCCCATTACGCAATACGTCACAAAAGAATAATTCACATTGACCTAACCTCATCTTAATTAGTTAAATTTAATTAGAAGCATCGAACATAACGTTCACAAGAATAATTTTAGGTATCAAAGAATTATTTAATGATATGAAATGTATACTTACTCCTTTATTAACAGTATCGAAAATCTTATCCGAGGCTATATCAAAAGTTCTTTCAAATATGAAAGCCGCAGTTAAAATAGTCAGCGTAAATGTGGATGTTCGTTTAAGAAAGATATTGTACAACGTTGTGGAGAATTTGGCCATTTCTTCTGATTTTCACTACTTTTTTCTTTTAATTGCTATTTTTATAACTTTTAAGTACAGTCGCTGTGCCCAATAGGCGCGCTCAGCGGAAAAAGCGCTCAGTGAGCAATCAACGATTATTGGTTCTTGCTATTAGATCCCTAAATCTAGACCAATTACATTGACAAATTACTCAACTGTTG